AATTTTAAAGTTTGTGCAAATATTTTAACAAGTGAAAGTAGAGCTCAAAAAATGTCAAAACGACTTGTCTGATCCGATTTATAGTTTTTGAGATATAAAGGTTTTTGTTTGTCGAATAAATTTAATTCTGGAGCGCAGCCTTAAACTTAACAAATTCAAATTGTAACCAAACATGATCTCTGAGGTTAGCTCTTCAACATCTATTATATTGTTAATTAAGTTAAAATTAGCAAAAACAGAACAGAAAAAAAATATAAAACGGTAAAAATTTTGCATTCATTTTTTTTTGTTGAAGATACCATCAAACTTTGAGATAAAGTACTCAAAAGCTTCAAACTTCAAACTCAAAAACAAAATTTAGAATCAACAAACATATTTTTTTATAAAAATTGCTAAACTGTTTTTATGTGCTCTCCATCCTCGCTTTTAAAGAAAAAAAAACGAAAATTAAAAAGTACACTCCTCAAAAAATACTAATACTCACAAAATTTAAGCCAATCATATCTTTCAAACTGACATTCATCCAAATAGAATCAAATTACCTACGCGATAATTCAGCACGTGTGCAAATCTTATTAATAATTTGCCCGTGTACCGCAAATCTAATTGAATAAATCTCAGAAATTTGAAGGATTTGATTGACATATTTCTTTTTTAATAAGTAAGATTTTCTAATTTCTCATAAAAAAAACTTGTTATTGTAAATTTTGCTTGGGAAATAGTTTGCAAAGTACCCCTTGTGAATGCCAAATTGATTCTAATTATCAAAACAACAAAATTATCGACAATTTGGCATGCGTTCAGAATAATTACACTGGTCAACAAGGGTTCGGTAACATTGATGACAATTTGGTCAATAGCAGTTTTTTACTTCCTAAATAACAAAATGCATTTAGTTTTTTGATAACACGTACCGTTTATTTGTTGCATTTTTTACCAATAATTTAATTAATACATTTTCTGCACTCCCACTTGGAATTTTGTCAATAAATGTGGGGGCTGTCAGTGACGAACAAGGAGAGAGGTTTCACCAAGACATGAAAAAGATAAAAGAATGCTATCAAAACCGCTGGAACCCTTCCATGATGGGCGATTACTGTTAGCTTTTTTAAAACGCGACAGTAACGTACCTAACAAAAGAAAATGTTGAGATTTCACTCTTTTATTGTAATATATGACTTTTTTAATGTTTCTAAAGTTAGTTTAAAATATTGTGTGCGCATAATAAAATAAATTAAATAGTTTAATTATTTTCAGTACTCTTTTGCTGAAACATCGAAGTTGGTAACATACGAATGATTCGTGATAAGACATTTTTGTGAAAATTTTCGAAATCAGAGTGAAAAATTACAAACGTAAAAGGTAGTTTAATCAATGTTACCAAAAAAAAAAAATGACCAGTGTTATTATTGTCTCATTTTTAACCTAAATATGCACTTAATTAATTTGAAAAACAATGATAAAATTGTGGTTTATGATAAAATTTTAGTAGGAAGAGTTTGCTGTTATCAGTTAATGGAGCTATCGAAATAGCCAATATAGTACCTTTTGTGTTATTTGGGGCAGAATTGGCTGTTAATTCGTCTTGCGGTTTTGCGAATGATGCGAATATGTGACATTGGAGCCAATTTTCGCAATATTTGCTTAAAAATGTCTATTAGAGAAATCGCAAGGTTGCAGAGCGGGCTTGGAAGCCCCGCGAAAGCAAAGAGCCGATAACAGAAGCGAGGGAGAAGTAAAAAACCTATTATGGGATGATGAGACTCCTTCATTACGCCTCAATATCGGTACCAAACCTTGATTAAAACAGGTGAAAATTCCTTGATGTTTGTGAAAAATGCATTTAGAAATGCGTATTTGCTTTGTGGTTCCACGTTAGGTTAAATTGCTCGCCACATGTGACAAATTACGAATTTTGAATAATCCTCACGCATGGTCGGAGGCTCATTACGGGCAGCTGTGACGCGAACCGCAATTTTCAGCCAAACGATCAGTCGCTGACGAAGCCGATTGCAACTCGCTGACCACAACTCCATGGAAGACCTCGCCACAGAACATCCTACAGACGTGACAGATGCATTCGAGGCGGTGCCCCCAGCTAGATAATCAAGACCAGCTTGTGTGGAACTAACGCGATTTTCTATACCTACTGTATCAGACTTTGCCAATCATTGGCTTTTCGCTGATTAGATAGTCATTGATCCGCAAGAGTTTATACATGCAGGACGAGGATAATTCAGTCTTAACCCACGGGAAATAACAATTTACCAAATTGCTTAGTACAAAGTGAAATCACTATCCCAAAACGAATTAAATAAACAATAATGTTCAATTTTCTACAACTCGAATGCATACGACGAATAATCCTTTCAAAGTCTATATTAAAGAGACGGAGACGGTATGAAATTAGGACATTGCTGGAATGCTTCAGCAAATGCAGCGTTATGTCCCAAGAATCCTCACTATTATCATCTACAGCAGTTTATAACGGTATTCCCACTATGACAATCTATTATTATTAATAAAGTTATTTCTTCAAAAAATTAATAGGTAGATTTTTTCTATCCCTAAGTAAAACTGGTAAAAAATAAAAAGTGATTTGGCACCAAACCGTCCATAAAACCGATACCGACTCATGCAGAATATTCCGAGCAACTTAAATCAGATATTTTCTTCGATTTTCGCATGTTGTGACCGATTTATCTGAAATTTATAAATAAAACGACCTGTATTACTGGTCATCGGTCAACCAGTTGCTCACTTGAACAATTATTATTAAGAGTTCTAGTTCCTTATGTTATGACCGCCACAAACTCGAGTTTGAGTTTCCTCAATTTCAGTTTCATAAAGTGTTAGAATGAGACAATATACCTTCCCGACAATATCGTAAAGTTTCAAGCCAAAACAATGACTCTGTTCGCGCACATTGCAAATCAGGGTACTAAATAGAAACTTTATCTCATCATGCAGATTTTCGAAAACATCCTGAATTTATTTACTAGCATAGCGAGGCATATTATGGCATATTACATATATGTAATATAAAAAATTACACTTTATAGATTTATAGTTTTGCTTGTTGCTAGTACAGTTCCGTAAACGAAATTTTGACATTCGTTTGACATCAAAATGTAAAACTGGTTTTATATACAACTAACTAACTTTAGATTTTTGTTATTTTTATCCTAACTAGAGAAAAAATGCTTAATTAATAGTTATTTATTCTACAAGTTTGAGTGTAAATCTGATGCTTTATTTCACCGAGTGGATTTTTAAACCACGAGTGTAGCGCGTGGTCTACTATCCACGAGGTGGAATAAAGCGTCCGATTTACACTCAAACGAGTTGAAGGCTTTAAATCTGTCAAAAATAATCTGACGTTTCGTATTGAGAAATGCCAAACAGTTCCCTAACGGGAGAAAAACCGTAAATTTTGACAGTGTCGAAGAATAAAATAATTTATTAAACTATATTAAAAAATCTACTGCTGGCAAGCTGGCATTATTTTCACCTATTGGAAAATCGACGACAAAAATAAATTTCAACTAAAACTTTCAAATTTTAGTTTCAAACGTCAATCATAATGACAATAAAGCGTGGTTTACATTAACATTTTTTGAATTGACATAAAATGGACGTTCAAAATTCCGTGTGCGCACATGTACAGGGTGCTGCATAGAAAATCTCAAAAACAAGTGATATATTCTGGGGCTCATATTTTGAGAAAATAATATTGGTTAAAACCGCATCCCGCTATTATCTTTTGTTTTTGACTTATGGATAAAAGTTGAATTATTTGTTTTACGTTTTGCATTATATATTAATATCAACTTTTGTCTATAAGTCGAAAACAAAAAACCAATATTATTTTCCCAAAAAAATGAGCCCCAGAAGTTTTAAAGATTCCTTATTCGGACATCCAAAATGCAGCACTTTCTTCAATGTAGTGTATTATTTTTTTATTTCTATTAATATTGAAATGCCAATTCTGTAGTCTGTAGTATTAAACATAAGCCAGAAACGGGTCGACAATGTATCAGTTATTAATTATAACATTGTAAAGTGATGTTGGTTGCGAGTTCCCAGGCGTTGATTGGAAGTCGATATGTTGGAAGACCCTTATTTGGCGTGTGGTGTATTGTGTGACGAATTTGGCGTTTGGTGTATTGTGTGACGAATTTTGTATGGTGTAATAATGAGGAAAATTGCACAATCGGGGTTATCGTCTGAAAAACTGAAAGAAGCAGTTTGAATGGGAGCAGTCTGCGATAATCTCGGTGATTCCCGGAGGAGCTGCACTGCAGCAGGCTGGAATCCGGGCACTATCACGTATGCAGCATCCGAGTGAAATATACCCCTCTAAATCCGGCATTTACATCGCCCTACTAACGTGTCGCTTGTTATGTTCCTCCCTGCAGAATGCGAGGTAAAAATCGCCCGAATTCGGTCTCAATTAGAATAAAAGATTCCAGTTTAAAAAATGATAAAACAATTTGAGAATCAGTAACGCTACACGGTTCGTTCGATTTGCAACGAACGATCCATTCGGGGTTGTTCACCTTTTCAGCGACACGGTTTTTCTTTCCAACCTGTTGACCCAACCTTTCGTTCACATTTTACGTACCTTGGAGAATAATTATCACCAAATTTGCAAACACAAAATAAGCTCCCAAACTCATTATCGACAAACATTAGCGTTTCTACTTTATTAAACAGCGATGAAAGACCTCTGATCGATATTGCGCTTCGCTATTGATTAAGTGGAATTTTCTTATTTGTGTATCAAAGAGCAGGTTGGCTGTTTTTACATCAAATTAATCTTTGACCGGGTAGATTTGATTAGAGGGACGCTTTATGAATGCTGAATGTGCTCGGGTCCATGATCTTTACGCTCAAACCAATCAACAGGGATCTCCGATTTGGATGCTCTAAGAAAGGTTCATTCGAATTACATTTCCTGCAAACATCACACAAAACTTCTCACTCAAAAACTTTTATTAAAGCAAAACTTAAAAATATACAAAACTAAGTCTCCTTCTCTTCCTTCTTCTCCTCTTTACACTCTTGCCCGTTTTGCAAATCTTTCAACATCTTGACAGCATCCTTACCTGTGGCAATTCTAGCCTTAGATGTATCTATGCTATCTCCCACTTGATCTCCCATCGTTTCAAACGCCGTGTCTGATAAATTGAGGGACAGATGAGATTGTTTTAATGGCACCTCTATCACTTTAATCTCAGTAGGAGGAATCCTATCTTTTACTATTTGCCCCACATTAAGTTTTACCGGTTTTGATGTTTTTCCCGACTCTTCACAAGCATTTTTCTCGCCCTCACTTTTACTGTTTACTTTGTCCTCTCGTGTGTACCTTCCGTAATGAATTTGCTTCCAAACATCCTCCATCAATTCGTCCGGCAAACCGTCGGTGAATCTCTTACTTTTGCACTTTTTGTGCGAATTGCATAACTCCCGAGTTCCGGGTTTCGCCTCCTTGCATTCCGCATCTTCGACGAGAATGTCATCAGCACCTGGATGAGGCGATTCCCGGACACATTCCACCTCGCGCATCCGGACGCCGGACTTGAACTTGCAAGCGTGACACTTGCCCCATTTACCCACCTTCCATCTGGAAAAACCTCAAATACACACCTGACCTCTTTATTTAACAAAAATTATAAGTAAAATTTTCATTTTCTCTCATTTGTTTTTGTTATTTTTTGCAAAATTTGTATTAGATGTATTTTTTTAAGGTTAAAAAGTTACTTTGTGGTGCAGGGCTGTGCGTTGCAGTCCCTCGTCTCTCCCGGGTGGCTTCCTTGGGACTCACAGAAGGAGTCGCTGACTTTTCCCGCTTTCTCCTCCACGCAAACCCATTTGGCTGCTTGGGTTCCTCCTCCGCATTTCGCCGAGCATTCCTCCCAGTCGGCTTGTTCCCAGTGATATTTGGGGACGTAAGACGTGTCCAAGGACGGTTCGGCATACTTATAGTGGTATCCAGGATTCGTATTGCTGTAAAAAACCACCTACGACGAATTTCAGTGGATCGATCTGACGCTATGCAGGCAATTAAGCAAATAAGCGAGGAATATCCGGATTAGTGGCGGCAAAGGATGCGATGCGGGTGCTAAGTAGCTTTGAAAATAAATTATGTATGAACTTTTCACGAGCACGTGGGGAGTATATTCATCTCAACCCTCGTACACAGACTATCACATGCAAAGCTTCGGCAGTAAAGAGCCTCCAAACATTGCAAAAAGAAAAAAACGCTGCAATTATTGATCGGTTCGAAGATTTACTAGCGGATTATCGGCCAAATTGGTCAAACTTGTGGCTGTTTAGATGCGTTGTTTATCTTGATGGTGTTCTCGCCTGATAGAGGCAACAAAAGAAATCGATTATCGCACTTACGAAAAGAACTATATCCTCGGTTAGAGGGCCGTGTATGAACAGCTTTTCTCTTTGATCCGCATGCGTGTAAATCCCTTCGGTTTCGCCAAACATTTTGTTACCGTCCCTTTCTTCACGACTGCAAAAATTACGACGTTATTTGTATCTCACCAAAGATTTATTTTCTCCAAATCTCACTTTCCACCGTTGAGGAAAAATCTCTGTTCGGTTGTGTCGCTCACTGCCAGGGTGTTTACAGCAGGTGCCAACTCTTCGAAGAGGAGGTTGCGACTGCCGACGGGAACCACAGCCACTTTTACATAATCTTAACAAAAATCTTAATTTGAAATTTTTTTAAAATGTTGAGCGACTTACTGCGACCACCGGTGGCTGTGTAAGTCTCGTCAACTATTTTACATTGAGTCCCATCGCCGTTACAAATACCACAAATGTCCTCAACGGCTTCCGAATCAACTTCTCCATCACACCCAACTTTCTGTTTTACTAATTTTGTTAAATAAAAGTTCAAATTGCCAATAACCAACCTTGCAAACTCCACTGATACACATATTGTGAGTTCCGGGTTTACATTTTGTTCCGTCTTTAGCTCTCGGTTCCAATTTTGCAAAAACTCGATTCTCGTTCAGACAATATAAAACGCAAGGCTCCTCTAGAATTAAAATTAATGATATTAGTTTGAGTTGGTGTCGAGTGTTTTAACCAGTTCTTGTTGATTCTCCCAGTAGTCATATCGATTTATGTATTTCTTCTTCGAGCTACAAGCCGCAACATTGTAAGCAATTATTGTTTATTTATCATTCTTCTAAAGTATGCAATTACGCCAGGAATGAATATACAGTTTCAACAATTTGCTTTTCATGTTTACACATAGCATCATTAAAAAGAGGAATTTGCATAATACAATTTTTTCAAGTTTATTAAAATGACTACACGTTATTTTATCCTTTCTTTTTTTCCTTAAATTACGCTCTTGTCTTATCACAAGCGTTGGATCTTAGAAAAGTCGGATTTAATGCAGGATTAAGTGCATGTCTACGACCGAATTTAAATTCAACAACGCTTTTCCTTACAAAAGCTTTATGTAAACCTCGAACCGTGCAAAAAATAAAAAGAATCCGCGCGGAAACGTCAAATATATCGGCTTTGACAGGATTTATTGAACACCTTTTGTTTATTTCATAATTTGCAGTCAACGCAAACCATCAAATCAACGATGAAGTAATGGAGAGCTAATCCGAAATATGTCTTGTTTCCTAACACCGGGATTATAAGGGACAGCAAACTCCAATTAACATGAGTTACAAATATTAATACAGACGAGAATGATCAATGATCAAAAAAATTTCGTTTTTAAAATAAAAGCTGGATTTATAATCGAAAAATTTCCTTCGTTTCTGGCGTGGAAATAACGAAAACGGGCGTTTAATTAAACCGGTATACATAGGGCTTATAGTCTTCTTAATTTGTTCAAGTGCAAACTCGGGCTTCAAGCCTTGATACGCAAAATAATCTCTTTTGCACTTTGGGTCTTACCTTCTTTGAAGAACGCCTTCCACTGGTGCAATTTATCTTGAAACGGTATCTTGTTGTGTTCCTGGCATTGCATTTCTCTAAACGATGGCGATCCCGGAGGACACGGCTAGATTTTCAACTGATATCGTTCAAAAAATCGCTTACGATTTATCGAAGAAGACTCACGTCCATGTTGCAAATTTTAATTTTTTTCCGCTCGCCTATACAATAACGGCCTCGGTGTTGGGGCACCGGGTTATCGCATTCTCTGGTCGCTATCTGAACGCCGCCGCCGCAACTCCTCGAACACTCCGAAAACGAGCTCCATTTACCCCAACCGCCGTTTATCGCCTGGGGACGTTGGCCCATCTGAACACACTTCTTCCTGTAACACCACTAAAAACCTTTTTCACTCTCGCTGAAGTGGCGTAATAAAGACCTTGTTTTCGCCGCATTTGGTCCCGTCTGCCGCCGGTTCTTCCTTGGTTTGGCACTCCTCGGGTTTGCTCTCGCACAAGAGGATTTCGCAAATGTTCTCCTGGCCGAAGCCGCAAAGAGTAGAGTTGGGCATCCACATCTTGCACTGCTGTTCGGCGTCGTAGATGACGCCAGGAAGGACCTCCTTGTCCTTGTAGAGAGATATTTGAGGTTCGTCGTTGAGACAATCCCCTAAACCATTTCTGGGGAAAATAGTTTGGTTTTAATTGTACGCTTGGCCTGATAATCTGAATAAAAACTCGATTTTAAATTGCTTCTATGTTTGTATACTTAATCTTAAATTCGACTACAGTGAGAAGAACCCGAGGAAATGGGACTTACCCTCAAACAAGCTGTGTAAATTGGATCAGAAGAGGCTTAAAACAACTTTGGCCGAAATCGCCGTTTTAAATCCGAGGGGAATGATCCTTTATCCACCGGCGTGGAGTATTTAATATTTTTTTGAAAAACTCTTAAAAGCACCTTTTCTCCCTCAATGATTGATGCTCGACAATTCACCGCCTTATACTTTGTGATTAATTTGTAAATTGCGTCGAAACGATATAAAGCTCAACTTTATTTACTCAATAAAATCTGTAGAGTTTAATTGCGCAATTATACCGCAACACCTTTAAGGTCTTCAATTTACACATAGACGCGATAACTTAAATTAATACGAACTTCGATATCAATTAAAATTAACACTGTCGCTACACGACGAAAATTAATTCATACAATTAAGAACTACCGAAGCTTAATATTAATTTTTAACGCAAAATAAGTGTGTCGGGGGCAACAGTAAATTATACAGCTTGACCTATTGCAAACAACTTATTAAAGTATCTTCTGTCAAAAAGAATTTTTACAAAATATGACATGCAATCTGCATTGATAATTTTACAACTCATTCCCTGTTAAATAAAGATAAGGTTACGAAAAAACTTAAAATAATAAATAAACGAAGCAAGGAAAAGTTTTCTGAATATTGAATAATGCTAATCTAGTGTTGTTTTTATTTTTTTGGAAAATTTTTCATTAACACTTGAATAACACTTCAATAAATTTTCCATTGTTTTCCTGTATCATAATTTAACTATCAAAGCATTCCGATCAATAGTTATATTTCAATCGATTGTTGGAAGCTCTCTTGCGTCGATATTTATGACTTGCAACGTGAAATATATTACCGGAGCGATCCGGGCTTCAAAAATTTTTTTTTTAAATCGATCATTAAAAAAATTACTTTTTTTGTTTCTGGAAAGCCAATTTTATTTTTTTCTATGTTAACAAACTAAAGTAATTACAATGTAGAGAAATGATCTATTTTTCTAAAATTAACCATTTATCACACTTTTTAGTTATTAGCAAATCATGCAATTATTATTACTTTTGATAAACCTGTTAACATCAAACAAATTGATTGACATTACATTTTAATAGTGGTGTCCTAGTTCCCTGAACTATCTCGTAAGTCGATATTTTCCATTGCCTTAAAAATTTGATAAAATCAGAGTTCAAAGGTGAAGAAACTCAGGGTTATTATTTCGTGTGGCTTAATTGAGGTCCAAGAATTTTGTGCTTATACTATTCATATCTGTTGAGACAAGCCTCTATTATTACTCTCGTACAATTTCATTAATTATAGCATTATATAGTACAGGAAAACAGTTTCAGGATAATGAACACAATTAAAAGGGTTAAATTAAGCTAAATTGTACAGTATGTGTAATCAACTTCTATAAACTAAGTTTTGGCAAAATTTAAAGAGAACAAAACTTGAGAAAACCTTAAAAAGCAATAAAATAAAGAATAAAACTCACTCGAATAGGGAAGTAATAAAACCCCGACTGCAAGTGGACCATCGAGTGGTATACAAGTGCACATAAGGAGCCATAACGAAAAAGGACTTATCTTCGTCCTGAGCTGGACAAGAGGACTCTCCTTCTTTATCATGAGCGCACCCCATCCTGAAAAGCCAATTTTTGAATTTCTCAACCTCTCAGTCGTCCTTAAAAATGCAATAAACACGTACACGTGTCCCATCTCATGGGCGACGACAATTCCCAGGACAAGTCCTCCGTCTTCGTTGATGGCACAAGGTTCGTTTCCGCTGCATGCGCTGGCCACGTACGCCAATCCCATGAGGCCACAGTTTGACATATTGTCTGCACATATATCGTACCTAATAACAATAAAAACTTTACTATCTCGTCTGGCTCGTGCGCCCCAAACTCCTGCTTTTTTTTGCTTTATATTGAAGATACTTTATGACTTTTTATAGGGGGGGCAGATATGAAAAACGCGCCACTGCCGGAATGTCCCCCATCTTCGTGATTCCTTCGGCCGTTACAACATAATAAAAAAGCCGGCGTCCAGATCTCGTGACACTTATTGCCGACCATCTCGGAGACCACTCCGGACGTAATTGGAAGCGCTATGACAAGCCTTAATTGAAACGGCGAACTTCCAATATGACACTAATAACGAATTAAGGCGCCGTTATATCGACTCGGAGCCGAATCTCCAGACGGAGAAAAAATTTGCACGATTTTTTTAGAATTGTTGCCAATTTGGGACGACTTCAATTAACTTCAACGACTGATTTCAGTCGAGTTTTACGGATACAAGTACATACAAAGCCAATTTTACCAGAAAGAACTCAATTTCGAGATGTGCCATGTCAATGCCATGTGTGGATCAAAGAAATAAAAAAACTGTCATGTTAACAATTTCAATCATAAATTTTTACTTAAGTTTTTCGATAATGACAAACTCGAAATGTAATAAAAAATCAACCAATTTTACATTTTTTATAGCTTCACACTAAAAATTTTCGTTGGCATTTAAAATTTCACAAAAATAACGATTTTATTGTAAATCTTTAGCGAATGAAGCATTCAAATTCTAGATTCTTGCAGTCCTAAAATTTTTCTGAAGTTAAAAGTTAAGACAACTTTATAGTGAAGGATTTAATCTCTAAGTAACTAGCATATTATAGTGATTTGTATTGCAAGGGCAAAAGTGTATCTTTTCCTCCCTCAGATGGAAAAGTAATCCATAAAATTTTTCTTAGGACTTACCAAAAAAAAAAAAATTAAAACTAACAATTTTTTTTGATATCCCAGTTTCGCCATTAAATCTAGCAGCATATTTTTCCATTTCTATGGGATAAAATTTATATTTCCCTAGAAGGTAATTGACTACTTTCCTTTTTGAAATTAGGTTGACAAAACTTACTTTCTGTTAAGCTGATTTCGTGGAAGATGGTATACAGGCCAAAGGGAAATAAAAACCATTAAAATCGTCGTTGTATTTCCTTTTGTCCTGTTTACCATCTTTCACAAAATCAGGTTAACATATTTCAAGAAGAAGAAACACAAAATTGAGACTTTCTGTTAAGATCATAGGAAATCGTAATTTGTATTACCAGAAAGGAAAGTATATCTTTTCCTCCCACTTTCTGTTAGAGTCGTAGGAAATAGTTATTTGTATTACAAATAAATACACACAGGTGGAAGTTTCTTCTCGAGACTTGTCGACGGTATTAGAAGAAAAAAACACTTTCCTCACATACACTGTGTCAATTTTAAAACTTGCAATCGGCAATTTCTCTCAACTGAAAAAGTTATTAATAATCACTCAAAACCGTTTTGCTGGTCCCTAGGGGGAATTAAAATGACATGATAAGTGGCACACCTCCACCCCACCCTTGAATATAGTAAAAAAAATGAAAATTTAACGTCTTCGTTTTTGAATAATTGTTGTATGACATTTTTGAAAAGCGCTTGAAGGATGGGTGGGTGTAGGAGCGTCACTTATCAAGCCATTTTGATTCCCCCTAAAAAGTACCGAAACGGTTTTGAGTGATTATCAATAACTTTTTTAGTTCTAGAGATATTGGCAATTGCAAGTTTTAAAATTGACACCCTGTATACTTTTTCCTACGATCCAGCAAGAAAAACTTCAAACTATGCAATTTCTCTTAATATCCCAGTTTTGCCATTAAATCTGGCAGCATGTTTTACGAAGGTAAAATTTTTATTTCCTTGAGAGGTTACATAAATAATGTGTTATAATAATGACAGATGAGCAAGGAAAATTTTTACATCTTAGGGAGATAAAGTATTTTCCTCCCAGAATGATAATTAGCCACTTTTCTTTCTGGAATTAGAGTGGAAAACCTACTTTCTGTTGAGGTCGTAGAAAAAATATGTTCTTCCAGATACGAAATCTTTAATCAGCGTGTTATTGTTGTTTTATTAGCTTAGTAAGAAACTAATTGTGTGAAATAAATTGCGCTGTTGAGATCGTTGCGTGAGATTCCATCTGATAAAAATTAATTACAATCTATTTCAGTTATTTACAATCTGTGATCGTAAGACGGAGACATGTTGTGATTACCTGGTCAACAGCACTGCGATATCATGATGGTTGGGATTATCCAAATCCTTGGGATTAATTTTCTGCTGCCACTTGCAAAAACTGGCTAAAGTGTCATCAGCATTGGGATTAATGACCAAATCGATTTCTTCCTCTTCTTTATCAAGATACATAATCCTTACCACGACCACGTCCATCATGTTCCCACTACTGGAATCGTGGTAAAAATCGGCCACCTACATGATAACGAATGTGATAAAATTTAAAGGTATCGCATTACTGCTAGCACTTTATTATTTCCACCGATATTGCAGCTATTAATAATATTTTATCAAGATCGGAGGCATTTTACGCCAAAGTAAAAATTTAAATAACCTGGTAATAAATCGTATCGGAGTAATCAGATACTGCTTTTATATTCTAGTACCCGCACTAATTTTCGCAACGATCTGAATAAACAACTCGTGATCGGTCGCACGCGAATTGTTATTTTCGTAATAACAATAATCTGATTAAAATCTTCATTTCCTGAACCGGAACCGGAACTTGACGTGCACATAAGCGACGAAAAATTTTTAAACACAAAAGGAAAAACTCTCTCATTTCCAAAATGAATAAGATTAGTTTAACGCTAAGTCAGCTTTCTTAAATTGGATTCTTAATAGCAGACTCCCGTAAAATCTTTACTTATTCTCCTCTACTTCAACAAACATGGTTTCTTGTTACTCGACAAGCCAATTATCAACCTGTCGCTTTAAAAGGTGGTGAATAAATAATTTTCAGAGATGATTGTTCATTGGTTAGATAGCAAACTCGACAGCCCTGTCAACAGTTTCAGATTACTTATTTCAACACATGTATTACCACAAATTTTATCAGTAGCTCAATCAAAGCGAAAATTATTTTTTCATCGTTCAAAACAAATAAACACGCTTACAAAAGCTCCTGGAATATTTCTTTAAATTGATATTTTGTTTAATCAAAGTTTGGAATTCTTTGCGTGGGAACTGAAACCTGAGAGGAAGTCTTTTAAAGAAACCTAAACCAACTTTTGGTATAATTACGATTCAACTGTGAATAAATTGAATTAATTTTTATTAAATCCAAGCCGCAATAAACGTGTCGGTTATTTACCCTCAATTGATAAATATTATAAATTGGACGAATCACTCTTTCCGGTTTAATTAACTACCCACCGATTTATCACAACACACGGTCTCTCTCTGATTAAGATTTCCCTCATCCTTTTTGACATAATAGCGATCCTATCTCATCGTTTAGTAACAATAATTAAAGATCTTTATCTCGTATAACTCAAAAAGCACTACCATATTCATAACTGTCAGAACATAAGTTTCCTGATCGATGTTCTTGTGAAACTCGAGGAATTTCTTGTCGCAAACAACCATCGTCTCTAAGTAGCGATGCAGACTTTCAGAGCTTCTTTTCTCGAATTCGCCTCGACGATATTTTTCGAAAAAACGCTTCTTCCAGGCTTCTTCCCAATTTGTGGAAGTCCCACATTTGCTCGTTTTTAGGTCGTTTTCTTGGGGATACCTCTCATAGACAATATGAAGGTGTTGACCATTTCCATTGGGGACATGTTCCTGGACCGGCTCTATAAAATAGCGCTTTTCGCGGATTGTAATGTAACCTGCCTAGAACACTCTGATTAATACCAAACCTGGCGCAAAATAATGTTTTTTCGCACGTACCAAACCGTCACAAGTTGAAAGTGCAACTTTTGATCCTTCTTCTCCTTTAATATTACCCGTGTAGTGGCACATTTTATCATTGTCGATTTTTCTAATTTTTCGTTCCTGGACACTTAATTTGGGTCTACGCTTTTCGAAAATTGCATCCGGTGAGATTAGATTATGGTTAGGCCAGAGTTGTGCTTGATATTGTTTGCCATCTAAATTTACAACATACTGGATGAGTTCTGGATCATCCAGTGATCGTTTTCGTCGTTTCTTGTTGAAATTTTGTTTGTAGTAAGAAGGAATTTTGAATGTTGAGAACTCACCACCGCGTGATGTTTTAAAAGGGACAGTCAATTTAAAATTATCAATGTCCCTCGTGTAGCGACCTTTAATAAAAAATAAAATCGTCAAGTACGCAATTAAATAAAATATTGTAATGTCTTGATTAGTTATGCATTCGTTTGGGCGGCGGCACGTTTCCAAGACAGGAGAACGGCTAATTTATTTACCGCGTGGTGATTAGAGCAATAATAAGTCGTAATTTCCGGGAATGTTGGTGGAAACTCGATTTTCATTGGTCGAACGCTTGGCAGACATTACTTTATACGCACACTCTTAGCAAATCAAAGTGAAAAGTTGTTTGAACGGCAATGATTGTCACCTATACGAGTTTCTAGTTTGCCTTAAGATAAATTCTCATTAAATGCAGCTTAAAGATGCTTGCAATAATCATGGCCGCGTGATAGAAATGCAAATGTAATTTGTATACATTAAGACAAACCATGACGAGCTCGTTTACAACAAAAAACATGGGAAAATGCCCATCAAAGCAAAATTACTCAAAATACGTAATTTCAGGCAATTTTCTTGATTAATTTTAAAAGAAACAGCAGGCCATGAAGATAAAAGAACATTTCTCCCGGGACCGAAAACCTTTATTTTTTAATTTTAGTCACTAGTAGTTTTTGAAATTATTTAGTTTCATTTCGTTTAAAAATGAATGTAAAAATTAAAATAATAAAATTAATGATAAACTAGGTATACAGTATTCACGCTGGTGTTGCCGCTAAGCCATAAACCGTACCCCTTGTAAATCTTCATAATCACCTTCAAACCGAACGCTCGTGCCTGTTTCTTTTGTTGTGAAAATCGAGGGTTTTCGGTACCTACTCAATATGTCTATCCTTGTTTTTCCATGTCACTGTATGTTGTCGGAGTAAGAGGAAGATAGTGAGGTAAAACTTTCAAATGAGAAGCAGAATTCCGGATCAGTGACAACAAAAATGTAAAGACTCAAATTTTAAAATTTATTTAAAAATATTTAACAAATATTCGTTTTATAAAATGAAATAATAAAAATACGATACATGGACCTAATATCCTACGGCTAATAATAATTATGTATGAGAATATTTTTCGCATAAAGAAGTGTCGTCACCCAACCCAAATCGAGGGCGAAATGTTTTGGGTGCACTGGTACCTGTCACCCTCGGCTTCTTTATATTGCTTAGCGGCAACACTTCGTGAATACAGAATAAGTATATGAAATTAAGTATTGTGAAAACTAAAAGCTTACTTAAAAAAGAATAAAATAAATAAATTAGAATGGTATTTTTAAATACAATGTTATGATTGTGATGTTTCTGCTTAAAACCCATCATAATAAAAAAGGGCATAAAAATTGTATCAATCAATGGAGCAATGCCCTCTGTTTATCAAAGTAGGAAAATCTATAATTCTATTATTACCACTTACTAATAATGCTGAAAGAATTTTAACTTGCAAAATTACCAAAAAAGAACAAAAAATGTTTGTTCAAAATTCAACTCTACGTAAAATATTTTTGTAAAACTTGATATAAGTTATCTTTTTTGTAGGTATTCCAAAATTAGAGATGGGGTTTTTCTTCGGGGTTAGGTCCGAAAATAAATGCTATTTGCCAAACTCACCATTAAGAGTAGGAATGCAAGCGACCAAAGCTGTTTTCCGGTACAATAAACTGATCAAACCAAAAGACACCCAAACCACGAAGTAGAAACGTAAAAACATTGTCAAATACTGTCTTGACAGTTTGATAAAAAGTCAAAAACTTGAATCATCCGCTCTGACAATTCCACTCTTGATTACCGTGCAAAAATTTAATTCGAATAATGACGGGTTTCCAGTAGCGGATTTTCCCGGCGTTTAAATCGTAATTTTGAGTTTTTGCTGTTGAAACATCCGAAAAATGTTTTAATTGCTTCAAAATTTATCGCAAAAGATGGGTTTAACAAACAAAATTGGAGTTTTCGGTGCAAACGAAGCGTGTTCATGTTTCTCGTGATGAGTCAAATCTCGCTGAAATTCTGGTTAAAATTAAAATAGCCGCACAACTTCATCAATCATTAGTTAAAACAGGGAATTTTTAGTGCGAAATAATAGTGATAGTGGGAGGAATTGCTGTCATTCCTGTACAATAAAATCACCTTTTAACTGCGAAAGAAACCTCGAGAAATAAACGTATTATATACAACGTTATTAACAAATAAATAAAACTGATAAAAAAATCGAATAATGGCTTGAATAAATATTCGAATTTATTGAAGTATTAAACAAATTTTATTTATGCATTACAGGATATCGCTGATGATTTAGAGTTATTATTCCAAATGTGTACATAAAATAATTGCATATTCGATATTAAAATGTTTTAATATTTTGTTATTGTTTTGTACTCCTACAAAATAATTAAATATTATTTATTTAAAATTGGAAGGAAAATATGATAAGCATTTCCGAGCCGCCTCGAGCTTCCGCTAATTAATAGTGATCCGTTGAGAAAAGTTACATTTTCAACATTCCCTAAGCAGATAAATGTCAGAAAAATGCGCGCATTGATTAGCCAGAATGCGAAGAATGAACGTTTTGCCATCCTGAAACTGGATTTACTAATTAATCGGACACATCGTTCGTTAAGCAATTTGTAAAGCTTCACAAATAAGAAACTTGAAACATTAACATTGTGTTTATGTAAATCTGTCCGAATTTGCGACAATTCTAATCCAATATCCGTCTTGCTTATCTTCAGACACGGTCGCCTGGTGGTTACAAGGTCAACTAAGATTTACCATTATGGATCGAATCCTGCAACCTTTGCCCTTGTGGAGATATATCTTTAGAGGCAGTTTGACAACTGGCCTGTCAGCCCCATTGTTGTTTCTCCTGCATCTCAGATGAATTTATACGAGGGAATGCAGATATATGCCCAACTGAACCAATTCCATTAAACACAATTGTCAAAATAGCCCAAGCATGGCAATTACCAAGTAAATTAAAATGTGATTTGTAAAAATTTATTGTTGGTTCTTGTATGTTTAGCTGGCGGAATAATGAATTTAAGGCGAAGTAGAGCTAGAATAAAGTGGCGAAATATCAGATAAATTCACCCTCTTCGAGCTCGTTCGTGTTATTGTTGTTATGGGTACAAGCTTAGTTAATTAGATTAACTTGCTTAAAATATGTTTAATTTTCTAATGAAATGTTGGAAAACTTTGGAATAAATGTTTCTCTAATTACACCCATAATCTACCGGAAGATGAATATTCAAATTTGCAAACGAGTCCGACCGGGTCAACTATAATTTATTGCCGAAGAATCGATCTCAGTAAGTCACCAGTAATGTCTTTATTATTTTATTTATTGCTCCGAAATTGATAGGATTTGAATTGCAAATTTTATTTTAATCAAATCCCCAATCTTGTGAGTCTTTTTTATTTAATTATCAAAATGCTTTGTTCTAAACCGGTTTTTGGTAATAATGTGTTAGTATCGATTTTGATTAATCAAAAAGACATAAATGTGATTCGAGCTTCATTATTTCGCAGCGAAATGCTGTCATTACAACCGCATCATGAAAACAAATTTTTCAAATATTTACATACAGACAGCGTGTATTTTAATTGTTGTTATCTAAACACTGTCACCATTGAATTTCTGCAATTAATTATTTTTACTATCCGCAACCGATAAAGTTCGAGGCTCTTGTTGATTGTTCAAAATTTTTGTAAAAATTTAGTCAACTGTACTTTTATTGTAATGTTAAAATAAACTTCACAGACCATTAAACAGAGGTGTGGCTCGACAAAATGAAAGAGCAGATGGGATACTATACAAAACTTCTAAATTATGATGTTATGTCGACAGAATTTCAATTAATTTAATAAAAATACATTTAATCAAGTCAAAAGCCAAGAGTTAACTAGAAAATGATATATGTTTCATTGAAACTCAGACCAAAGAGCTCGTTTTAAATGAAATACAAACATGTTCACAGCGATAGAACATCTATAATTAAAGTGATAAAGTTAACAATTTAATAATGAGGTGTAATGAATGGAAGTCTAGTCGGCAAAGCGAAATTGGTAATAACTCGAACGAGAGTTTTTCACAAAAAATATGAATAAAGAAAGACGAAATGTTTGCTTTGTTTCTCTTTGCTCGTTCATTGCAGACAAGTCAAAAAATCCCATTGCTCGTTGAAAATTCAAGACAGGATTAATTACTAGTCTAACTTAAAAAAAACATCACAAGGTAGGTAATAGAAAATATGCTATTTTTCAGCATAATGTATTATAACTGCTTTATTTTATTGAAACATACAGGGTGATTGAGGAAATTAGATTAACTTGTAATGTCGTTTTTTCACTTTATTTATGTTTTTATGCCATATAAATTTACAAATGAGGTACAACTTAAGGTCTAATTTCAAGGCAGGTGGTTGTTAAATGTAACACCAAAATTGTAACAGGCTTAAGCGTTTTCAGAACTTTTTATTGGTATTGTCTTAAAAAATGTAAAGAAAACAATTTAGTAATGTTCAAGTTTTTGTTTTTTTCTGTAAAATACCAAAATACTACCTCTGTCTCAAATTATGATAGACAGTTGTATAATATATATACATTTGTATACCATAATTTGAGACAAAAGAATATACTCGCACCCCAGAGAAAAATTTCAAGTAAAATAAGATACCAAGAACATGAAAAACATGTTTGAAAATTGTATTTTCAAAAAATATAGACATTTTTTCCATGTTCCTGGTATGTTTCTTTATATATCTCTGGGGCGCGAGTTTTGGCGCATCCTGTATATTTTAGAGAATTTTTCATCTGAGACAAAAACAAAAAATTTGAAATCAAAAGTTTTTTTTTTATTATTTGCTTTCAATAGTATATTAAGCAAAAGCGCTAAGGACATTTTACCGATTGAAGACAATTGTTTGGAGAAGGATCGAAGCGACGACTCCAATTATTGTGTGAGATCGGTAAGTCCTTAACGTTCGTGATGCTTATTTATGACATTTTTTGCGCAATTGATTTTTGTTAGTTTTTTTTAATAAAATATCTAAAAAATGTTCTAGAACGGCAAAGTATTTTGCCGTTCTAAAACATTTTTGAATGCTTACCGACTTAGCAACAATAAACAAAATACTTACCGACGAGTTTGGGATAGCAACGAGTAAATACAACTTACTGTCTTGGAAACAGACGTGGTAAACAATGAAATAGTGCTCAATCGCGCAAAAAAATAATACTTACTAAGAATTAAAATGCTATAAAAATGTGATCGTGTTTTAAGAATAAAATGTTTTGTTTTTGAGTTGTGCACTTTTTTTAAATAGCAACTTATATGAATTTTTTTAGATAAAATTTGAATAAAACGTAAATAGATGTAATCTTTAGATCATAGTTTGTGTAAAAAAGGTTTTATAGTCAGTTGCCATTAGAAAAAATTAAAAATTTAGCAAAACTAAAAACGTAAAATCGAAAAATTCTAATTTTGAGAAACAACAATTTTTTCTAGTGTACTTTATTACTCATCAATTAGTTCTTTCAACAGATTAATATTTTAATAAGCAAAAAACGTTTAGTTCCATATTTTCTGTTCATCTGGTATGTATGATTTGTTTAATTATTTTTTCATTATTTAAAAAATTAAATATAATTTTAAAACCTTCATAGTGACTTTATTTATTTTTTATATATTGTTTACATTAAACAAAAATAAAAAATCTCAGAAAATTTTTGAAAATTCTTCTCCTTGCTCATTAGTGGACTCCTCGCTCTTTGATAGCACACCTCAAAGAATCTGTACGTAATTAATAATATTGAAATGTAAAATAGGTAGATACGAAAATCTGCGAGCTAACATTGTAAATTGCAAATGCATCTTCCGGGAAGTCGTAATATTTCATGTCAACACTTATACGAATTCTATTAATTAAAGTGAGAAACATAAGAACAAGCATACAAATCAATGTATGAATATTAAATCCGTGAAATCTTTATTGCGTCTCATGGCATGAAATATTCCTGGTTAGTATACAATTACAGCGTGAGGATAATCCTCTGCAATATATTTCGTTTAATTTATTCTTTCAGTGTATCGCGTGTACTTCTGTTTGAAATTAATTTAAATTTCAATAAATGCGCAACATTTGCAGGTCAAAGTTGAGCCCACCTAAAAATCCGTCAATTGAATAAATTTTAAAATGACGAAATTGCCGTCTCGATCAAATTTCAGTTAATAATTTTCCAGTGATAAATATTTACGTTATTTCTCAAAAATAGCGTTCGTATTTTTTTCCCGTCAAAAGGAAGGACTTTGCAATAATTTATGGAAATGGCAAACATCTCCGAATTGACGAGCTCCCGTGTATTTTATTAGTACCACTTCATTGCAAAGTATGTTTATAAAAATACTCGTCTAGTAGGCAGACAAGCGTGAAATCGAACCAGCTGGTCCACCGGATACGTTTTCATATTGCTATAACACTTGCCATTCTACGGATGGAATGAATAACTTGACCAGCAGGTCCTACTTTTTTTTACAAGTTCGCTAATCAGACAGGAAACACGTCATATTTTCTTCCCGGAAAATAGCGTCAATCGATTTAATTCAAGTACATCGCACATTGGTCACTAATTGTGCGTCAAGTTTTATTGCATTAAATAAATTCCTTTTTAATATTCTTCATCAACCTAATGCACTCATCAATTAACCACTAGCTCGCACTTGGTTTATTTCTAAGTCGATTTTCTTGAAACTTTCCAAGGTAGGGAAGTTACCAAGTTTCTTTTTCTTTGTTTCACTAATTTTACCGGTATTACCACCCCGAAGTATATTCAAAGCAAAAAAAGTCGCAGTTTTTTGATCTTGGCTCAAGTGGAACGATACGAAATATGTTATATTCATACACTCTTCCCGGGACTTAAATAAATTAAATGAAATTTTTACGAAATGAGGTCCTTTATATTCGCTCATATTCCGCGATGGGCGTTTTGATAGGCTTCGATATTAACTTAATCATATAAAATAAAGTGTGCGTTGTAGTTGTCCCATCCATAAAAGACCAATAAAGTCTTGCTCCTTGGAGATTTTATAGCTAGTTTCAATAAAGCGAGGTTTAAAATAAAATTCGATTGCGTTATTATGAGCGATATTATTTTTGTGTGTGGCTGGAGTAATAATGCCCGATATAAATCGGTGGCGATACAGAAACTGACATAATATTTATAGCTTTTAGATCGATTCATAAATTTTAAATATTATTCCCATTTCGGTGAAATTACGTACAATTCGTCAAAAATTTTCTTAGCCATGTATAGCTAGGAAATATGGCGCGACGTGTGTTTATGAAATTCGCCCGGAATTTGTTTATTAGAGAAAATTTCAGCGATATTGATTCAAACAATGATTCATCAAGTAAGTGTTGAGTTTGTGAAACAATCTGAAATTGATAATTGAAACCAAATATTGTTCCACGTGTGCCTGAAAGAATTGTGCCGTCTGGGGATTGTAGTTCCTGTTACGAGATTATGATAAATAGAGATATCAAAAATGACACGTCTGGAGTGATATTTTATTTGAGTACTTGTCTACCTTTTATGGCAAAACAATTTCAACATGAATAATAAAACGAATATAAATCCAACTTAACTAAGAAAACAAGCATAATTACTTAAGCATTAAATTGTAATAAGATTGTAACAAAGATATTGATTGGCCTTCGTATTGTTTCAGCAACTTTTCTTTTGTATCGTCTATTTTTTCGGATGTCTACAAAAGGAAAGACGACTCGTGTTGGATTTTCCCGTCCAGGAAAATAATTACTTTTCGATTAATTCGGAGGAAACATCAAAAACGTCCTCTTCTCAATGATTGACATGTTGTTTGAAATATTGAAGGTTACATCGATGGGCACGCCTACCAACGCTTTATCTGATCTTTGGGTAATTTGTTTACACTGAGTCATGCCCTAAAGTAGATTTATTAATACGAGATTTTTTCCAAACATCACCTGGATCCGTGTTAATTTATTCATGCGTCAAATCTAAATTTAAATAGTGATCCAGTTGTGATTTGATTCAATTAGTTGCAAGTTTTTGTGAGAGCGGAAAGTGACAGATTATGGTCGTTGCAGCAATGCTGATTATATTGTAATAAAATAAGACAACTCAGAGTCGAGACGACTAAATTATATGAAAAGGCACGAATTGTTTCATTTATTCCACCGACTATAAACATGGGACTGTGCTTTTTGCGTTTATTTATAAGCGAAACGCTTGTTTGTCAGTCACAGTCTGAATCTTCTAGTTTTCTGTCTCGTTTATGAATAGGTAGAGACATTAATAAAGCGAAACTTTTTCTCGACTGATCCAATTTTGAGGCTTTTTCATCTCCGCGATTTTACTCTTTTCAACTAATTGTAGAATAAATATTATTGGATTTAGATGTCGTTTTTTCAAAATGACTCGATAAAGAGTAATTACCATTAATATTAAATATTTATGTGTTTTGTTTAAGAGATTGATGTAAAATATGGACATGTTTACACCATTTCACTTCGCTATTGCTAATTAATGCACAATGGGAAAATATCGACTAAATGGGTGTTACCAAAGGCCGATCAATGGTGACAACACTTGGGTGTAATTCCAAACAATAGATACGAGAAAAATTGATTTATGACGATTCTGATTTGCACGTTTGCGAGTAAAGTGGTCGAGCAAAACGAGAAAGGAGTGGCTAAGATAAAACATAAATAAATAGTGAGAAAAATGGAAATTTATGGATATTTATTATTGAAACGCCGTAAAAATGACACGCAAGGAAAATAATCCATAATGAGAATTTATCGCAATTTATATAAACTCAAGTTACACGAAATGTCGACCGCAGAATTTCACATCGGTATTCACAAGACCAAATTTTAGAAAACAATTGGCTCATCACTCTTGTAATCTAATTTTACACCACTTATTACTAAATTGATTCTTATTGTGAGTATTAAAATTGTTAAAATTTATGTAAATGTACTAAATCAATGTTTTAAAATTTACATTTATTGGCAAAACTGTGTACAAAAATAAATAAAACTTACTTGTAGCTATTTTTTTTGATGTATGAAATTTACCGAATAACAAAATTTTTCAATTTTTTAATTTTTTAATTCGTATTTACATTACTTTAAAAATTCTAGAATCGCTAGGAAAATACGATTTTCCGTACAGATGTAAATTTGCTTTACTTCAAGAGAAAAAAAAACTTACTTTTATTTTGTAGTCAATAGTGCTTTTATCAACTAATTTTAGTAGACAAAGTAGTTTTTTTATCGTCTAGTGAAATAAAGTAATTTTCTAATCTACTCTTTATAATCAAGAAATTTTGGTAGCTGAGTACAAAATAAAACGAAATATTATACACGACGATAAAGATTGTTTACCTACTCGTGAAAAAAGTCCACTCGTGACTTAGTTCACTTAGTTCACTCGTAGAAAAACAATTTCTTTATCGTCTTGTATAATAAATAAATATTATTCAATCCTCTATGCTAAAATTGAATTTTATCTACTCTGTTCTTTATGTTAAAATGAAATTTTATCGTGTAGATGATAAAAAATACATCCATTGTTGTATATCTGCGGTTGTTACTTGCTAACGATCTTTGACATTAGATTTCATTGTTGAATTTTACTTTGACATTTATAAATATCGACCAAATTGACTACAAAATTAGTGAGGATTGAATAAAATTTTATATTGTACCTACACGACGATAAAATTTTCATTATCTTTCTAGCATATTAACGTCTCGGCTGACGCCTCGATGCTAAATTGCTCTCAAAGATAAAATTCAATTTTATCGTCTTGTATAATAAATAACTATTTTTAATTTTTTAATTCACATTTACCTTACTTTAAAAATTCTAGAAACGCTACATTTTGGATTGTTATAATGTTATACACAAATAAAAAATACGATTTTCGGTACAGATGTAAATTTGCTTTACATCAAAGAGAAAAAAACTTACTTTAATTTCTTGAAAGGTGGTGACATTTTGTGTAAAACTACTCTTATATTGGAGTGTCATGATCATGATGTTTCATAAATTGTCTTGTGTAAATTCAAGTAAATTGAAATTTAAAATTAATGTCAATTTTGGCTAATCAGTGAAAAATAGTTGAAATAAATACAATTAAATATGTAGTAGCAAATAGATATGAATGTTATTTCGCTGAATCATCTAATGCGGAAATATTTGCTCAAAATAATAAATAATTGTGAAAATAATTTTACTTTGTCATCATCGTTGGTGCGTATTGAAACAAATATAATGCATCGATGTAGTAATCTATTTTCTGTTGAAAAACTGCAAGAGAAAATTTTCGAATTTTTCCAACCAGAAGGTTGCGGCCCACACCAAATCTTCGCGTTTCAACTTTCTAATCGAATTGCAGTTTCGCAAAATGCGCCTCAACTCCCGGTTGCAAAGAATTCTGTTTACGAATAGTCCAAGTGTACGCTTACACGGCCAAGAGTGGACCGTGAAACCGCTCGTAAAGCATTCGATTCAGATTTCCGGAACAAGTTTGGCGACGATGGGAAGTGGCGATGCCTCCGTAGGTGTTTAGTCATCTGGTCTGGAGTTGTGGATCTGCTGCTCACTTTGTACCAAGACCAAGACAAGTGCAGGTGCAACAGTGCGTGATCCGGTGACCTATTTCTGGATTACCTATTTATGACGGGTGAGTGCTTTTTTGCAATTTCGGGGGTTTGTTTACATGAAAATTAATCGAAACACGATTTTCAAATTACATTTTATTTTAATAACACCTGCAAGTTGGGCCGGTTTTACTGTATTTATTGTAGGTGTAATCCGCTTTAAAGCCTTTCTACCAATGTTAGTTGAGTAAATTGGCTTTTCGTATTATTTGTATTCAACACCTTTAATAATTTGCTCGTGCTAATTTATATCAGGCATTAAAGGATATTATAATTATTTCTGCTATTGGAACAAGCATTAAATGAATACATTACACATTTTGTGAAAAACCTTGCATAAAAATTAAAGTTGTTTCGATTAAAATGAAGACTAAGCTAAAGCCTTCTTATTTTTTACGTTATTATTTTACAAATTTTAATTAACTCGTGTGTATTTTTAATTTATGACGACCGAATTTTCCTAAAACAATATCACTTTTTGTCCAGATTTACAGTGACGTTTTAAAAATAATACGCAAAAGGATTTCCTAAAACCTCGTTAATTCTGCATGTTTAAATGTCAAATGTTTTGTAATCTGCTTTCTTTCAATATTGTTTTTGGAAACAAATTATTTCTAATATTTAAATAATGGTTTTGAGGTTTATTTAAAACCTCAAAACCATTTTCAATATTAAATTAATAATAAATTGCCTAAGGTGAGCAACTTCAAAAAATAATAAAAATAATCAAAAAATAATAAAAATAATAAAAAAATAATAAAAACATTCAAATCGGGCCATTATTAAAAATAATTATAACTGTATTCCAGAACACAAAATAAAAATTAGATAGGTTCTATCAATGTATAGAAAAAGCAGAGAAAAAATATTCTAAGCCCAAAATCAAAAGAAAAAAGAGCTTTTCTCTCTACTGAGTTAGAATAATGAAGTTTTAATTACAGATTTGCTCGTTTCAGATAAAGCAAAAAATGTTTTTCCATTGCAGTTTTGGCGTAAAATGAAAGATAAAAAATTTTTCCTCTTGTAAACTCAATCCGGGGACATACTGTATATAAGCTAAATTAATATTTCATTAGAAGCGATTTTTACGTGTTTCTACTTTCAGTAATTTGAGTTTTTTTACAATGACCACATTAGAAATGACGTAAAAAGAAAACTTTTTAACTTCAAAGACACTTTGTTTTTGCTGCAAATGAAAATCTCAAAAAAACTGCACACTTAGGTTTGTTTATCCTTAAATCGGGACAAATCAGGACATAAACGTAAAACAGGACAAGGCAATAAAAACCTAAACATGTCCTGGTTGCCTTTTAAGCAAAATTTAATTTCAAATTTCTTAGAACTTAGTATAAAGTAACGTTTGAAACCCATTTAAAAAACATATAAATGTTGTAATTGATTTCTCGAAGAAATATGAAATTTATGTTTAGCGTAAAAGCACAAAATGCCCAAATGCAATCTCATCTTTGTAGAACTGAAGCAAAAATTATTGTTTGGAGCGAGTTTTCTCCACTTTATTAAGATACTGTTAAAATTTTATTATACAAGGTGAATGAGAAGTATGGATCAAGCGGTTTTATAATAAGTAAAAATTAGAGTACATATTATAAAACATGTGTTCGTGTTTTTAGAAGGAAGTTTTATTTAGTTTTTGAGATTTGGAGATTTTTTTGTCAAAATGGCAACTTCTAGAAACATTTTTTTCTATAAAATTTGAATAAAATGTAGACAGTTGTAATCTTTAGATAGGTACAGTATTTGTAAAAAAAAAGGTTTTACAGTGAGTTACTATTTAAAAGAATTGAATAATTTTTAAGAACTACGAAAATTTTGCAGTATTTTATTCTTGATATGATGTCACATTTATTTAGATTTATCATTTATCTATTAGTTTAGATTGAAAAATTGACTCAAAACTGGTTATTTATGTCTAAATTTCTACTGACAAAAAAATAAAAACTTTGAGAAATTTGATATTATATCAATCACAATTAAATAAAGTTAATGAATTTAGTAATCAAAATTGTGAAGTTATGATTTGGATTTAAATAAAACGTCTTATTTCTGGTACAAGGAAAGCCGTAAGCTTGTTCTTTCTAGGCTTTATTGCATTTGTGATTAGTTTTATTGATCTGTTGTAGTTTTGTTCCTTTGAGGAATTGCCAGTAATGCTTCGTTTGATCTACTTTTGTAGCAATTGGTTTGTGTTTGGCGAAAAAAACTAGTCCTAATTATACGAAAATCGGTGGTAAAAAATTGCCCACTAGAAAAATCGAAGGTTATTTTTTCGTGCAGGTCTGAAAGTTCCATTTGAAAGCGTCGCAAACCCAGTAATCTGGTCGGAATTAAAACTTGGAACCTCTCCCACCGCTAGTAATTCGCTCATTGGAGTATTGCAATATATGAATGTTAAATTTAATGAAAACAAATTCGTTTAGTCTCGAACCGAATGAGCATTTCGGTGTTCAATTAAGCGTCTGATTTCGTCCAGACGGTGTTTCGCAGATTTGCAATGATGTAAACATATCCCATTGGCCCAATAATCGCCCACTGGGTCAAGTGTGCACATAATTAACCGAATTTATTTCGGCAGTGATGAATTTCCGAGTGTTGTAAAATGGAGCCCTTCGACTGGCATTGGCTCGGCTTCCTTGTTTTCTTCGCAACTTGCGCAACCAAAGCTGACAAGATTTATACAGGTGAGTGGAATTATTATTTAGATTAATTCAGGAGATAATTAAAACGCACTTTTTGCGCCTACAAGAGTTTTATTCGAGAGGCACAAGTGGCAACGTTTTGATTTTTTCAGCGGATTTGGACAAAGCCCGTTGTTAATGGCCACATTAAACGGAAAAATAATCAGAATGGGTGTTAATTAGACGAGAAAAACAGGAAAAAGGCTAAGGCCCATTACGGGTCGTATTTTAAAAGTGCGCTCATTACCCGAGACTACAAATCCGACATCCGTTGAAAATCTACACTCGAAATAAAACCGGAAAAATTGCCCATGCAAATTTAATGCCTTGCCAGCTTAACGCAACGAAACACCAAAGTCAAATTTAATAATGTGAAAACAGTGCTGTATTCAAATTTAAGATATACAGAGTGGCCAAAACTGGGGTGTTTGTTTTGATTATTCCTAGCCCTGTTTAATGTTCAACTATTCAAGTGCGTTAAACAAACAGAAAAACAGAACAGAAACTATAATTTATTCGCTCTTCTGATGCACCAATAAAAAATATAATTGGTTGTAATTATGGTTTATGTATTTTTAAATGTTTGACTCAGCCCACCGATATAATTTACGAGCGTCTTGCAATAACAAGCACTTCAATCACAATTTCTCTCTTTTAAAAATACTCGATTCATTCTATATTTAGGAAATGCAGGATTTTTTCAACGAAACTTGTTTGACTGGAGCTCTCATCGCACATTAATTAAATGAAATCACCTATCGTTGATTAACCAAATATTATGTCATATTCCTTAAAACGTGGATAAATTATTATCCTGCTCTTTAGTTAGTTAATTTGCTATCTTGTTCTCTCACTAATTTGAATAGACATTTATTAGCAGATCATGAAAATGTATGATAAACCTCCCAAGTCACCCACGCTTTTAAACTCACTTGGCGCGCGTCTCCTGTCTCATTTTCTCTATTTTCAAGTAATTTGCAATAAATTACACAAAACTCATTTCCGACATGATATTACCAAACAGTCATTAAAAAGATGATGTTTGAATAATTTTCGATATACTCGCTGCGAGATTCTTAATTATGACTCTATTTATGTTTTTTATTTTAATTTGTGTAATTGGAAAATTATTGTTTTAAACGTCAAGGTTTTCACGTCTCATCATAGCAACAGCAAAATTCTGCAAAATTTTTCAATGTTACGAATTCAGTAGCGTACAGATTTTATGCGCTATAATGTCCTGCATAATCATTGAGCTACTGTTGCTACTGTAAATCAGTTCAAGAGTCCAATCATTCAGTCCGACATTTGCGCTTAAAATAAATAAGCATTACAACATTACACGGATATCAAAACAAATTAATTTTTCTTTCACGTCTCGGGAAAATATAAAAAATGACACGGTAGCAATTTTTAACGAGACTCTTCCGATTAATATTCGAGTCGAAAAATTCGTAGTAGTTTTCCCAGAAACTCCGCACAACCAATTTAATTACATATAATTATAGTGTATCTTCGAGCTAAATTCCTGCACGTTAGCTTTTCTCGACTGAATTCTACAACTCGTCTCGAGCTTATGATTCAATAACCAATCGTGATTTATCCAATATTAAAAAAAAAGATAGTGTGGCAGTTAGAAGGTGAATTATCACCCTATAAAATAGCGACAACATACTTGTAACGTGCACATTCTAAACATATTTAAGAACAATTTCTACGACCATAGCTCACCAATGTAACGTTTATAGCACACTTATTTATGATATCGCCCGATTTATTACAGACATTACCACTCTATTCAGGTGTTTCAATTCCTGCACATAAACTTGCCACGCTTCTAATTAATATAAGTTTTAATCTCGGTTGCCATGATTTTCCATAATGGCCTCGAAAGGGGTGACAGAGTTTTAGCCCGTTGCGTAATGGCCTCCAGAGGGGAGTCTGTATTCGTCATAATGTTGCCATGGAAGTGGGTTTCCGGGTAATGGCCTCTCGAGGGGAGGCAGTGGGGCCGCAATGGCCTCCGGAGGGGAGGCGCAGCGAATAATTTGCAATAAATACGTCTTATAGAATGAATAAAGCGGCAGGGGTTCGAGTAAAACCCGATATCGCGGATTTGCGAATGTTATTTATGTGTAATGTAATTGAACGGTTACGTATGTCTGGTAGCAATTCATCTGATCGTGATGACCCTTCGTGGGCGGGTAGTGTAGGCGCGACATCACTAAGGCTTATTACTTTCAATATTTGCATAAAATTCGAATAAGACTATCGTATAAACATGTTATAATCGCAAACATCTCCATTTCACCGCAGATAAATTCGGTTATTACAATTATGGTGATGACAAAAAAGGGTAACGAGAACGGCGACACGCACACTTGCGTGGCTATTTTATCATCAATAAATTGGGTTTAGGCGGGATGAAAAGGCAGGAATTTGTTGAGTTTGTGTTTTTAATTATTTTATTCTGGTATGAAACGAGTGGTTTCTGATTTATGCCAGGATCGGATGATTATTGGGAACAAATTGGCCTCTGTATTATTATCTATAACCTGAGTTGTCCATTATAGTTATTGCTTATTTCATATGGTTATGTAAATTGATGGGTATAAATGTCACAAGGGTATGACAACAAACGACTTCAATATCTCACTCGGAAGAAATTGATTTAAATACATGAAACCCTTTTCATGTGTTTCACAAACACACATCTAGTTCGTATTGTTCCCAAGTAATTAACTCGGAAAGAATAAACAATCACAATGTTGTCTGTCGAGATTTAACGCTAGGATAAACCCGAATAATATCTATTTTCAAGCTAAAGTTTCAGTGTTTGAACAGTCTGAAATTTTTCATCGAATTTTTGAACACAAATGTAACAAAAGAGACAATAGGGAGGTTCATACGATGACACTTGTGTGTCACATTAAATTACAGTTATCTGCGTTTAAAAGCGCCAAAGTTGGATAAAACTTGTGTGTTTTGTATGCGAGGGCATTAAGAAAATCATTTAAGAGTAAAAAAGCGTGGACTCAGGTAAAGCGTGAAAACTGATCACGCAGCCTCTTTATGGAGATTGATATCTCTGTCACGCTCAACCTCATTAAGTCCCGACTGGAAAGAATCGTCGGTTTTTAGTGTTCCCTTGCTACATCTGTTCGGGACAGTTTTTGGCCCTTAAATAGATAGCAACGGTGAAAAAAGCGTCCAGGAAAAGAAAGCAAAAAGGTGGGCGTTTCCAGTGTTTAATAAACAAGAAACCTACATAGAAGAAGTGATTTAACAACATCGAAAAAGCGAGTTTCGGTGTTTCGTTACAAGTGGCGGTAGGCGGAGGCGACCTCTTCATAAAACACCGTTCTTGAGCATTTTGAATGATCACACTCTTACTATGCAACCCACACCTTACGCGACTTCCCACTTTGACAGCTCGTTGAATGCATTTACTCATTCATCCATTCATCAGCGCAAGCGAGGAAAAACTAAATTGGACCACGAAGTTTTATTTTCCTGCAAAGTCTGTGTTTTTGGACAAGGCGGTGCTAATTTTGCAAAAAATACTACAGCTCGTTTGTATTTGAGATAAATCTGGAATGGTAATTCGATATGGAGACTCCCAGAATATGTTTATTGGGTTCTGTGCTTATAAAGCTCGGATTTTATTTGACTCTGAGGCTCAGCTTCTGAAATAATAAAATAAGGGAATAATGCGTAATTGATCCACCGAAAAGCTTTTCCTTCAAATCGTCATAAATTCCTTTCAGAGTCACCTTGAAATTAAAAACTTGCCAATCAAATAAAATATTTTTCCACGATATGAAATTAATATTAATTATGACATTTAAAAATTCAATTCAATTCAAATCGCCATTGAAATGCAGTTATGTCACTTAAAAGCTTGCAGCTTTCGCGGAAGCAGAATTGTTGTTTCAGTTGCAAAATTTCATTCTCACATAATAAAGTTTTGTTGTGTAGTTTCAAACCAAATGAATTCGCAAAGTTTTAACCAAATTTTTCTAGTTGCAAACGCAGTTAGATGTATTAAAATAAATGCAAACTTTTCAACCAGTTCCTGGATAAGTAAATTAGGAAATAATTTTACTTACTACCAGACATTTAGTTGAAATTACTTTTCGTGTTATTGATATTATTTTAAATTTTGCGTGGGTGTTTTCTTAAAATTAGATGATTGGGCGAGCGGTGTTTATTTACCCACTTTTCATTGATGTAATGAATGTTTATCTTAAAATGCGAGTAAAACATTTTTTATCTTTAGATAGTCGTTCCACTTAATGTCTAAAAGCTCTTCGTTGATGCGAAATATATTGACATTGTCTCAGGTCAGGAGTGTTTTAATTGGCAGGTAATGACTTGCCATATTTCAGCGTGCGAAAAGAAGTTTAAAAGACGACATCGTCATAATTTTTTAATGAAATTTAACGCCTCCAGTCTTGCTCCACTTCCTGACTGCCTCGATAAATTCCCGTCTCACGATTAGCATTTAAAATTCTTTTAATCCAGTTAATAATTCATTTTTAGGGAGTTGTAAAATTATCAAACCATTCCCAAATAATAAACGCCACGAAATTAATTCTCCTTTGATTCCTTTGACCGGATTTATTGATAAATGAGCGGCCTACGTATTGTGTTTTTTAGTGGAAATAACTCGTTTCTGTTCCCACACACAGTATCGAATTAAAGCTTGTGTAAAAATGAGATCGTTACACTTTTAATTATCAATTAATAATACATAAAAGTGTTTGATCTCGTCTAGTGTACCGTGTAAGATTTAATTTCCTGTTTCTTCAGGCTGTCTTTATGTAATGTAATATCTCGAGCATTAATACCTACCTAATTCGGAAATGAACTTTCAGACAAGCTCTTTTGCGATTAATGAGACGCGACGAAAATAATTTTTTAATTAAATCTGTCAGAAAAAACTTTCCTACCTGGAGGTCTAATAACAGTCGGGTGATTTAAGAACGTACATTACAGGCTACACCACGAATCAAACACCAATAAATTAATTGTTTTTAATAGTAGAGCGGATCGAAATTTATAATGTGTAATCACAACGTGTCTGGAAAGGAAACACCCATTCGCCGCCATTATTCAAATCGATCATAATTAAATGCAAGACAGACCAATCAGTTTTAATTAAATAACATATACATCAAACCGCATTTTAATAATTTGACGGCTCAAGTGCACCTGGATTTCTTATTCACCGAAAAGTCCGGTTTTATTTAATTTGTTAACAACTGCTAAATCTTTAATCGGATTCAAACCGCTTCCATGCACTAATTAATAAGTTGAATATTGATAAACGAATCGACAAGTACAAGCTTCGATGTGGTCGTGTCAACCAGTCATTTATTTATCTTTTTGACGCAACTTGCTCTTAATTGGGACTCAAAATTAACCTGTAACTTTAATTACAAACTTGATAAAAAATGCATCCTGATATGGAAGACGGAGATTATTAAGTTTAAATAGCCATTAGATTAGCTTCGAAAATGGCTTTCCTTGGACAACAACATTCAATGCTTTGTTTCGATAACAATTTGCATTTAAATGATTAGACTGGTACTTATAGCACGTACAAGAGCTGACTCATTGATATGTGAGATGTAAAATGGAACGAAAAGGGATTTTTCTAAAAGAGGCAACTCGGAATGCAATTTTAAATATTTAAAGGCGTTTTACAGAAACTGAATTGGATAATTACTCAATTAACTTGATATTATAAATTAAACCGTAAACACCATCAGTACACATATCAAATAACCATTAATAAAGCGGGGATTGCATTTCAAACTTCAAACAGGATCGATCAATTTTTAAACCAATAACTTATCTAATAATTTGAAACTTATAACTGAAAGAATTTTATTCAAATACATAATTAAATATTTACATAAAATTTCAATTCCGAAACAATAATTAATCACAATTTTATGTTCACTAATTAGTGTCACGATTTTTTTCTAAAGTTTCTAAAAGTGCGTGTGAAATCACTAAATAACACAAATAAAAAATGCAAAGTGCAGAATTTGGACCAAAAACCCGTTTGATGCAGTAGTCAGTGCCGGTTATTTCCTGCAGCCAAGCCATTTAGCCTCGTATCCCAGGTATTGCATCAATTTGATAAAATTCAAATGGCGTGCAGTATTCCAGCCACGTCTCCATAGTTAGCAGGATGCTAGAGATTTCAACGCTGCATCACCGACAGCAGGAATTTTCAACATTGTCTCCAGCCGGTCATAAATTACAAGCAAATCAACGCCGTTTCGTTTGCAGGTTTATACAGCGGCGAGTTAGAGTCGCAAGTCCACGAAACTGTTCCTCGGAAAGTGGGACCTGGAGGCGAATTTATCTCTCACGATTTGACAAGTTTTCACGATGATGGTCGCGTGCACTTCAACGTTACTCTCTATGATCGGGAGCATTTATTGGTGCTTGAACCGGTCCGAAATTTTTTAGCTCCGGCTCTTGTAATCGAGAAAAGGAGAAGAGACACATACACCAGATCGAAACCGAGCGATAAATCCAAAAAGTGTCATTTTCAAGGCATTGTTCAGGGACAGCCGAATTCCAGGGTGGCCGTTTCGGCCTGTAATGGACTGGTGAGTCTATCTCAAGGGCAGACAAACATCGATTTCTTTGATTCAAATGAAAAACACACTTTTATTGATTTTAATATTATTATACTTAATGTTTTTTTGAAAACTATAAGTCCCACAATATGTAAAAAAAAAACTTGAGAAATCTACCGACGATTTTGTTAAACACCGGAAATTCGTAGAAATCTTAGCATTTGCGTTGCAAAAATGAAACATTTAAAATCTTCTTTCATACTTTGTTACATTTACTTTTTTTCATATTTATCCAAGCTGAGGTTACTAAAAGTATATTTTAACTTCATATCAAAAATGAATAAACACACAAAGATCAGCGATTACCATATAAAACTCTGTTTTTTTTATACAAATCTTAGCTTTGAGCTTTGAAACTAATAAAAAATTAAAAAATCTTTTTTCATGCTTTGTTACCTTTACCTTTAACCTTTTTTTCACTTTTATTCAAGCTGAGGTTACTAAAAGTATATATCGCCTGTTGGATGCAGAAATAGCTTAAGTCACAAAATATAAATTTTACAGGAGAGCATTTTTTTAGTTTGTAATGTAAATAATAGAGATTGTTAGTTTGAAATTAGTTTAAATATCTCTTGGTATAATATTATAGTTGGACTTAAACTAGTTCTGCAGACAGACGCAGCGATCTTTAATGTATGTATCTACATACAAGATAGTATTTTAAGTCCAAAACCGGCAAAAATGGACTTAAGCTAGTTCTGCATCCAACAAGCGATACTAACTTACTAAAAATGAATAATCACACAAAGATCAGCTTTTACCATAAATCGGCATTTTTCTGCATTAGTATGTTAAACATTTCCCTTATTCTGCACTTAGCAGAAAATGTATTTTTTGAAATAATTCATAATAATAAACATTGAAACAGAAAAATGACTTATTAGTTTTTGATATAAAGTTAAAATATGCTTTTAGTAGCAAAAAAATGCCATTTTGAAAATTTTAAAATCTTGGATTTTGCTATTTTATAAAAAAATCGTCTTGTGATGCAAAATTACTAAAATTTTTCCGTGTTTTTGCATCGCTAATCGACTTTTGCATCAATATATCTAGTTAAAAAACAATTATTTGTTATAAAAATTTATGGCAAGAAAAAAATTATAGATTGTGACACGCTGGATAAATATATCTAACATTTTGCGATAACATTAATAGTGCCTACTGTTATCACTACTTAGAAACTGAAGAAATTGATTGATAATAATTAATAATAACTAAAAAACTTGAAGACCCTAATCAAATCCATTTTTTTCGAAAACTATAAACCTTACAATAAAAGTAGAAACGCAATCGATATCAGCGTTTTTATCAAATAACGCAAATCCGATTTCAAACCCAACTATAGTTCTCCCAACAAAAACGTTTCAACTTTTGACAGTTTTTAAGTTAGATAAAGAACAACGAACGATCTTACATATTCGTAAAAACTGTTGATTTGAGGGCGTTTATTCTGGAGTTTAACTGAAACTTTTCAAAAATTGAATAAAATCGGTCAAGAATCCAACTGTATTTAAGGCATTTTTACAACTCGGGAATCAGGATTTTCACAATAGTGCTACTAGTAGAAACTATAAGCAAATAAAAATGAAATTTTATTGTGAGGGTCGATTTAGGAAAACTTCAAGTACTCGTTTCTACTTTGAGAAGATTGGGTCGACTCTACTATTTGAAAACAAAAATATTTAATAAAATTTTGAATTATGTATGTATTTGGAAAAATCCTAATTTTTAATTACAATTTTCAGTTAAAAGTTCAGTGATTTGAACCATGTAAAAGCGATTGTTTTTATTAATTTCCGATTTGTTTGCTTAAAACAGCTAGTTTCAAATTGCGTAATAAAGTAAAATTCGCTTTCAAAAGACAGGTATGTTACACATGGACGAGGGTAAATATTATATTGAGCCCTCTCATCATCCCTTAAAACAAGTCGATTCGGGTCATCCCCATCTTATCTACAAGCGTTCGGCCGTGACAAGTGCGAAGAGAAAGAAGAAGAGGAAAAGAAAGAAGCACTTTCGGGATTGCGGCACCCGCGAGCCGAAGAAAATGACCGAGTAATGACAGAGTTGTCGTTAAAAGGAAAAAAAGTAAAATGCTTGGTATTTTTACAGACTGGAATGGCAGAAACAGCTGGGAAAAGTGAAGGTGCAAGAGAAAAAGCACAAAACTAAACATAAAATTGATATCCCGAGCGTACAGCAGTCTCAAATGAAAAAACATAAATATAAGAAAGTTGATGTGAGGGAAAAGCGCTCCGTTAGCAAACCGCACTACGTCGAGACTTTGCTCGTCGCTGATCCCACAATGGTCGAATTTCACGAAGATGGAGACATCGAAACTTATTTACTCACCATCATGAATATGGTAATTTCCAATTTTATAGTCCATTTTTTGCAAATTAGACTCTCATAAAATAAAATTCTACGAATAACTTAGCCCAATTAAAGACACTCAAATTAATGCGAATTGCAAATTACATTTTTAAATTTATTCCTCTTAGGTGTCCTCTCTGTACATGGATCCAAGTATCGGCAATTTGATAAAAGTTGTTGTTGTTAAAATTATTTTAATCGACGATCCGTTGGCAGAACCGGAACTGAATGTATCCGTCAATGCAGATCTCACGTTAAAGAACTTTTGTAAATGGCAAAAAAATTTAAATCCCGACGACTCGCATCCGCATCATCACGACGTTGCTATTCTTATCACGAGGAAGGATATCTGTGCCAGACAAAACGCACCGTGTAATACTCTGGGTGTTGCTCATGTTGCCGGGATGTGCAAAAGCTCCCGGAGCTGCAGCGTCAACGAGGACAATGGCATTACTCTAGCCCACACCATCGCACACGAAATGGGACACAAGTACGTAAGCTAAAAACGCAAAACATATGTTTTTTTGGTTATTTTTTGCAAAATTTTGAAGATTTCTGTTGTTACTGAAATTATAAATTACTAAATTCTTCTCTATCAAAACAGTCAATCAATTTTTTAATGCAACACTGATTTCTTTTTTATTCCATTATATTCTATTATAAATTCTCTTACTTTGAAATTGCTTTGTATTTGTTCAAATATTTGATGCAATTTAAAAAAAATATTTCAATTTTCACAAGTAAAATA